CTTGGTACAAGTATAAACATAGCCTTGGTACAGCTGTAAACATAGACTTGGTACAGGTATAATCATAGCCTTGGTACAGGTATAAACATAGCCTTGGTACAGCTATAAACATAGCCTTGGTACAGCTATAAACATAGCCTTGGTACAGCTATACACATAGCTTTGGTACAGGTATAAACATAACCTTGGTACAGGTATAAACATAGCCTTAGTACAGCTATAAACATAGCTTTGGTACAGGTATAAACATAGCCTTGGTACAGCTTTAAACATAGCATTGGTACAGGTATAAACATAGCCTTGGTACAGGGATAAACATAGCCTTGGTACAGGTATAAACATAGTCTTAGTACAGCTATAAACATAGCCTTGGTACAGCTGTAAACATAGCCTTGGTACAGCTATCACCATAGCCTTGGTACAGGTATAAACATAGCTTTGGTACAGCTATAAACACAGCCTTGGTACAGCTATAAACATAGCCTTGATACAGGTATAAACATAGCCTTGGTACATGTATAAACATAGCCTTGGTACAGCTATTAAAATAGCCTTGGTACAGGTATAAACATAACCTTGGTACAGGTATGAACATAGCCTTAGTACAGCTATAAACATAGCTTTGGTACAGGTATAAACATAGCCTTGGTACAGCTGTTAGCATATCATTGGTACAGCTATCAACATAGCCTTGGTACAGGTATAAACATAGCCATGGTATAGGTATAAACATAGCCTTGGTACAGCTATAAACACAGCCTTGGTACAGCTATAAACATAGCCTTGATACAGGTATAAACATATCCTTGGTACATGTATAAACATAGCCTTGGTACAGCTATAAAACATAGCCTTGGTACAGCTGTAAACATAGCCTTGGTACAGCTATCAACATAACATTGGTACAGGTATAAACATAGCCTTGGTACAGCCATAAACATAGCCTTGGTACAGGTATAAACATAGTCTTAGTACAGCTATAAACATAGCCTTGGTACAGGTATAAACATAGACTTGGTACAGCTATCAACATAGCCTTGGTGCAGCTATCAACATAGCCTTGGTACAGCTAAAAACATAGCCTTGATACAGGTATAAACATAGCCATGGTACAGGTATAAACATAGCCTTGGTACAGCTATCAACATAGCCTTGGTACAGGTATAAACATAGCCTTGGTCAGCTATAATTATAGCCTTGGTACAGGTATAAACATAGCCATGGTACAGGTATAAACATAGCCTTGGTACAGCTATCAACATACCCTTGGTACAGCTATCAAAATAGCCTTGGTACAGCTATCAACATAACATTGGTACAGGTATAAACATAGCCTTGTTACAGCTATAAACATAGTCTTGTGTACAGGTATAAACATAGCCTTGGTACAGGTATAAACATAGCCTTGGTACAGCTTTAAACATAGCATTGGTACAGGTATAAACATAGCCTTGGTACAGCTATAAACATAGCATTGGTACAGCTATCAACATAGCCTTGGTACAGCTAAAAACATAGCCTTGATACAGGTATAAACATAGCCTTGGTACAGCTATAAAATAGCCTTGGTACAGCTATAAAAATAGCCTTGGTACAGCTATAAACAAACACGATAACATTTTTAAGCGTTATAGCGCACGGTAAGATTGTCCCGTAGAAAGCCATTATCATATTTTAAGTTTTTTTTTTTATGTATAACATATGAAATAAGTGCTTTAAAACAACCGCTAATTTATATTTACCCACTTTTAATAGGATCTTTAATATAATATTCTGCAGATATACCAGCTATTGAATGTCAATATCTATTTGTTCCATTAGTAATATATCATAGTACCAATGTACACTTACATTGCATATTACCCGTAGGCTTAAAGCTTGATCTGCTGATTAAAACATCAATTCTCTTTGTAATTCCGTCAATGGATTATATAATAATGTGATGTGTTGTCCACTCATTCTGTAATCTTCATGGTCGATTATTTAAAAAGCCGATCTAACAAAACAACATGTAATGATGCGAGATCAAATACAAGCCAAGCTTATATTCTTGTCAGCGTCCAATAAAACTGTTTTGCAGATTGACAGGTTTAGCGTTTCCAAAAGATTTTTTTTGCAATACTGATTTGTCCTTTGCAAGCAGGAAGTATATGCCGTCGTTGACTGATAAGATTTGAAAGATCTGTGCTGTGTAAAGTGTTCTTTGGTCAGAACATAACTTAGTACATTGTCATAATTGATTACGCGTCACAATACCGAATATTCCAGATAATGGATTGACGCGAACACCAAATGAATAATTATATAGCATCTGTATTGTCGAGATTACATTTTTGTATTTAGTGTATTGATAGATGTATTCATTTTTTTGTGCGAGTGATTTATAGACTGATCTGGCTCTGTCGTATAATTTTGCAATCATAACAGTAAAGATAATTATATATTGAAGGAGTCACGTACATATATTTACATTTACATGGCATTGTCACTATATAGCCTCTTTGAAAGCTGTGTCGTTGATGGGACTTTAATTACCATGCATCACGAGACAAAATTCTTAGCGTATTAATACAACACTGACCGGAACTACAATATCCAATATAAATAAACATGACGGCTGCTGAAATATCGCTGGGCATTGTGAGGTTTGACAATGTCATTGTAAATTAATGTGCAAAATAAAAAATAAAAAAACCAAAACTTTTATTACAACGAAAGCAAGACCAAGGTCTGCAATATCGTACAAAATGCACATCGGTTGAAATCACCAATGCCGGCAATGGAAACCATTTTAACGCTCATGCAATTTATCAGAAATATCGTCTGTTACACTGCACTGATCAACAGGGGTTCGTTACAAATGTCTGAAATACACATATTCTATAGACCTACTGACACATATGTTACAGACCTACTGATATGAGTCACAGCACACATAAACATTTCAGACATTTGTAACGAACCTGTGCTCCGTCGCAAGATCACT